CCATGATCTCGTCGTCCTCCTCGCGAAGAACTCCCATCTCGACCAGTCGCTCGTGGCGTTTGCGATCCGCCAACATCTCCAGCTTCTCCCGCTGCGGCTGGTAGGTCTCCTCGTTGAGGAAGATGTGCTCGGCCACCGTCGTAGGTTCTGCTTGCAGAGGAGATTCCTGCTCCAAGATCTGGAACAGCTCGTATTGCCCCTGCTCGTCCAGGTGGTCCGTGTGGAGGGTGTAGCCCAAGCGGAAGTTCGTCCATCCACTCAGCGCCGTCGAAGTAGGGTCCGTCCGCTCGTAGTCCCTGATGCGAGCTTGACGTTGTAGAGCCGCTGGCGCTGCCTTGAACTTGGGCTTGATCTTCTTTGGAGAGGCTCCCAAGGGAGGTGTGGCCTTCGATGACGGCTGAGGCAATGGCAATGGTGCTGAAGAGGAACTTGGAGAGCCATCGCCGCGGGAATACCAAATGTCCCAATCCCCCTTCTTGGTGTTCCATCTCCATTTTCTCAGGCACTGATTGCATCTCGCGAAGCGGCCATGGGCGTTGCCGTACCTCTTGATGTCCTTGTGCTCGCAGGAGTCCGGGTCGAGGCGAGGACTCAGGATCGGCGGAACTGCCGATTGGAGCCAGTCTCGCGGCATCATGCCCAGCCGCACGCCCCCCATCATGTAGATCCAGATGTTCCTCCGGAACGCGTCGAGAGCCGACACGATCCGCCTCCATCTCGCCAGCCATGGCGGAGGTGCTGTCCGCATGAGGAAGCGGGGGCCTCGAATTCAAGACCTCATGGGCTTTCGCCTCGTCTGTCATGGGCTTCGGCGGTGGAAGGACAAGTTCTGGATGTGGCCTTTCCCAACATGATGGTGACGAAAGCTGTTTCCAAACACGTTCATGGCCAGGGTGCTCATGGTTGGTGTCCAAAATGAAAACTGCAAAATGACCACACTTGACATGAAGTTCAACTGAACAATGCAATGCCGTGAAATGAACTGCACGATTCGGCAAATCGATCACCGACCCCAACTTGTCCAGGAGGGAGTTGCTACCCAACAAAGGAACACGTTCGGGCAAAACACCGGCACCGATGACCAAGGGGACATTGTTCAAATAGCTGGGGATGTAGGCTCTGGTAGTGGACTTGGTGGGATCTCCTTTGCCAAATTGAAAGAGGTCATACGAATCAATCTCCTTGGTCTTCAGGCCATAGTCTCCCAAAAGCTCTTGGTGGTGTCGATACCAAAGGGTTCCACAACAAGTCCTTTGGCATGCCGAATCCAAAACCATAAAACCAGCGAGCTCCCCGTCCGTGGAATAGTTCTTGACCTCATTGACCTTGTAGGGGATGCTATTGACCATGTTGATGGAGAAAGCTGAACCAAACTCATCCGGGGGCGTCCCAACCTCCAACGACCCATACTGGTGGTGCTGCACGACGGACACGGAGTGAGTGGGCTTTTTGTCGTGACCTGCTGAACGAAAGGAGGTCGAGGATCCCTTTGGTCCTTTGCCGGACTTTCCTCCAGCTTTTCCTCCACCAGCTCCTGGATTGAGTGGACATTCTTTGTCCTGATACCAGTGGCCCAAGGCGCCGCATGCCGAGCAGTGAGTCGTTTTTCGAAGCTCTTCGGGCGACTTCTTGGTTTTGCCACCAGCGGAATTGGAAAACTTTCGACCCAAAGTGATGCCGCTGAGTTTTCGGGCCGTCACGGTAAGGACCTCAGCGAGCTCGGAGAGGTCGGGTTCATCCTCTTGAGGATCTCCGTCGGCGTCATCGCCGTTCGATGGCTCTGCATCGCCATCAGCGTCACACTCGGGGTCTTCCTGAGCATCAGCGAACTCTTCATCTTCAGCGACCTCCATCTCGGGGACCTCGGTCAAGTAGGTCTGCCGTCTTGGTGGTCCTTTGCTGCCACCTTTTGAGAAGCTCGATGTGGTAGTCGAGGAGGAGGTAGAAGAGCTCGAGGTCAAATTCTTCCCTTTGCCTTTTCCGGATCCAGACATGACCGCTGGAGCCGGCCTGAACTCTGGCCATTGGAGAACAAGGCATTCAGCAATGGCCTCAAAGCTAAGGCTTTGTTGCGTGCCCACTAAGATCATCCTTTGGTCATGATGACTCAGTCCGCTGCGGTCTAAGAGCCTCGAGCCGAGCGAATCGGAATCGAATGTTCCCGATATGTCGACTCCGACCGCCAAGAGAGACCTCTGCACGCGTCTAAAGCGCTGCACATATGCCCTCATGCTTTCCTGGTTGAAGCGGCGGAAGGATTCGAACTCGTGCAGGAAGCGTCGTTTTTGGTAAATGATGCGCTGTTCAAATGGCCGCTGCAAAAGCTTCATGATGACGTCCACTCCGTCATCCCGATGGATTTGCTCAATGTCCAAATGTTCTAGTTCTTGTTCAAGCTCACCTGTGAGTCCATTGTACAGCATGAGGGCCTGATCCTTCTTGCTGGCGTAGGCTTCCATTTGGAGGCGCCAGATGCTGATCTTTTTGGAGAACTTTGCAAATGCCCTCATGTCAGACTGGTCGTACTTCCATGTCGGGACAGGAGGAGGTTGTCCCGACTTCCATTTCAGGCCTGGTGCTGGCCCTTTCTTTGAGTTCCATGAGCCCTGAGATGAGCTCTTGTCCTCCTTCCCGGAATGTCGTGACCGGTCAGGAGTCTGGTCAGGTAGTCCAGAACGTTCGAGGCGTCCTGAATCGGGTAATCGAGGAGCTCGAGGAGCCGTCGATCGCTGTGGCGATCTAGCCGCGCCAGGAAGGTCCGCCGCGCCCGGTAGATCAGGTAGATCGGGTGGAGGGCCTTGAGATACTCCCGAACCTCGAACAGGTGTTCGTGGAAGAGCTCGTCGTGGGCCTCGTCCATAACCACCAAGCTGGCGTCCTGCATCCTGTGGCTCAGGTTCAACCACTGGGTCGTTGGTGAGTCTTTCGGATTCTGCGTGTTCTTCATATAGATCTCCTTCGTCTCCGTCCGGTGGGCCTCCATGCTTGGTCCTCCTGCGGCGTCTCTTCTGGGCCTTGGATTCCCTGCCAGGTGAGGTGGGAACGAAAACCCAGGTGCCAGAGGGGTTCACCTTCTTGGTAGGCCTGTCGACCCGGTAGAACTCGTCGTGGGAGCACGTCAAACAAATCCAACCGCTGTGGCCCTCCGAGGGAGAGAACCGCTGGCCATCACAACGCAAACAGCGCCATGGTGTGGGCTCATCATCATCCTTCGTGTCCTGGATCGGTGTTCTTGGTGCTTGAGGCTCCGACCAGGGATCCGACCATGGCGAATCGCCGCCATCACCACCATCGAGACCTTCGAAGTCATAGTCGAAGTCGTAGTCCGACAGGCGGGAGGCAACCTCGAGGTCGTCCGGGTCAGCAACCCTGAAAGGGATGGGCATCGAAATGCCGGGGCCTTCACGGCCGCCAAAAGCACCAAGCCAAGCTCCGGTGCCAACTCGACAGCGTCCGATCGGCGATCAGCGCGCAAACATGTTTCCGCACACTGCAAGGTGAAAAACGGGTAAGGCTCAGGATCCTAGTTTCGAACCACATGGTGCCAAGGTCAAAGGAAATCATGGTGCAAGTTTCTCATGTTCAAACATGTGCTCTCGAAATGTTCAAAAAGATTCTTAGGAAAACAAACTTGCCCCATGGCTCAGATCATCGGTGAGCATTGAATCGGAACATCATAGGATTTGAACTATCCTGAAACCATAAGAGGCTCACGAAGACGCTCCCCAGGAGAGAATTGACGTGCTTCACAAAACAAACTCTAGGTATGTATCCCCTCGGGGAACACCTTTCGTGATTAGAATTTCATATTCACTCTTTCTGAATGTTCAAGAGGGTTTCAACTATCCTGAAATCATGAGAGGCTCACGAAGACG